CAGGTAATCTTCACCAACCACCACTAACTCTTGGGCTACTCTTTTACCAACAAATAGTGGGATTGACCATCACATTATAAAGCCCCCATGGCTGAAAGGGCAAGCATGTTTGGTGGGATGGAAATTCGAACCCGCAACCCTGAGATTGTGAGTCGAGCGTCCTAACCACTTGGCCATGCCAGGCCAAGGCAATTTATAGTAACATACAAGTACAAATTTACTTACAACAGGCAGTACACTTTCTCCTGAGAGTGTCTGACAATACTGGGCAATTAGTTGGTGTTCATCCTCACTTCTAATTGAAAAGAAGAAAGTTTCATACATTCAATTGCTACATACATGTTGAATAAGAAATGAAATAAAACAGAAGCCCAATAACTTAAGGCATAGAGGATAAAAACAGTTTTAAACAATTTCTTTGAATATCTACGTAGTTTTTACAAACGAAAAAATTATAAGTGATTTGACATGAAAATATAATTCTTTTAAAATTACACGTGACTTAAGGGAAGACTTGATAAATATATGAATGATAAGGGCTGGCTTTGAGTATTTTATTTTAAAGTTTATTGTATGAGGTGGTCTAGATTAATCAGCAGATTGCTTGTTGACCTTCAATTATATATGTTTATATGTATGATTATCTTGGATGTAATAATGGTAATAAGTATCCCACTGAGAATTTTTATCTAGATCATGAGCTTCATAATGTTGATAAGGAATTAATACATAAAAATTATTATTTATGGCTACACTTCTTTCATAAAGAAGAAAAATCTTGGACTCATCCATAACTTACATACAATTTTGATAAAAATGCATTAGGTTTAAGTTAGAACTAAATACAATTTACTGAGGCAAATAACTTTACCCATGAATTTCTAGTCTGCATTAATATATATATAGGCTTAGGTGCTATTATGATTAGTCTTAAACAATGTGTTCATTATTTATTTTGATTCAATTACTCATTTGTTCATCTGTCCTATATAAGATACATCTATATGAATATATTACGTAATTATCTATCTAGTACATGTACTTGATATATAGTTTTTCTGTATTATACAACGGTTAAGGAGAACAGTAGAAAATTCTCACTTTAATAGCCTTCTCTGTTCCCCATGGTTTAAGGGAACTGTACCCTGTGTGGCTAAGTAATTTTTATTTGTTAATATCTTTATGGTGATGTATTCATTGCTATATAAAGATGTAATTCAGCTTGTTACAAATAATTCCTACCCAAAATGGGCAAGCCAGTCTATCATTCAAAATTCTCAAAATTTTTGAAGGTGAGAGAATGGCAAAAAGTTTGCAAAACTTCAACTGTGAAGGGATAAAGCAAAAGGAAGAGTATATACAATTGGCAGCAAACTTCAACTGTCTAAGGTAAGGAGCCCAAAACTGAACACAATACCTCAAATGTGGCTTAACCAGTGACCTACACAACAAAAGTATAACCTCTATAGATTTTTCATTATTTCTATAGATACAAACTAAGATTCTGTAGAAATATATATGGCAAGCAGAAACCTGTCTCAGAAAGAATAGCTCATTGGGGACTTCACGAGATGAAATATCATAATTGGACAGCATTCTATAAACAGTTTATTACTCCCACTAAAGTGCAATGCCTAATTCAATGATGCATGGACCACAAGGCTTTGAAACAGGAGTAATGGAAAGCTATAGTAAGGTCATATAAATCATCACTTACTATTTTCCTATAGAATGGATGTGTTTATACTGTTACGACAGCAGAGGTCATGTGACGCTAGTAACACGTCATGCACTTCTAGAACGTTCATGAAACCTCGGGAGGTTGCTAGATTTCGGTATTCTTGTACATATAATACGGTCAGGACGTGACGGCAACAATGTGTAATTGAACTGTGGACAGAGAGAGACGTATTGTTGAGCACGTGAAATGTTCATTATGAATTATAGCATTTGTTATAGCGCGACTGTGGAAATTAAGTGTATTGCAAAGTTGTATTCAGAAAGAATAAACCTGTTTTATTTAAGAAAGGACTAGAAAGAATTTTTATGAAAAATTAACTAACGACCGGAGGCGTAACAATACATTGCAGCAGTCCAAAAATACGTACAACCCTGATCACCTGATTTGGACTATTAAAAGAATTAATGGTTTCATTATGGCCTGGATAGCACGTTTTTGGTGTGGACTTAAACCTTTAATTTCTATGAAGGGAAGATTACTAGCAAATTACTACCTAGGTATTGTTGTATATAAAGTGTTACCCAAGATGAGCTTTTATTGTCCCAGTTGGAATGAGTGGTTCCCCTTACTTACATCATTCTTGGAATATGAAAACAATTTAATATGTCTACTGTAACCTACTTAATTCCATGACCTTGATATTAGTTATCAAGCATTTGCAGTTTGTTATTATAGGCACTTTTCAGCTGATTTCCACTTCTTTTCTCTCTCTCTTCTAGAATGAGGCACTGCACTCATGAATAGTGCCCAACTGCTAATTATCAGTCACTCCACAAAAAGAAACAGTCATTGCCTGACACCTGTTCAGTCTTAACACTAATAAAGTGATAAACATACATATTATTTATTGAGAAAACATTCTTTAATGTAGCAGGACTATTTTTAATTAACCAACTGTTCATGGGTTTGGTCAAATTGACCTACACCCTATCTGTAAAGCCATATGTAGTAATGTTTACTGTAATTCAGAATTTATAAACTGTTAGACATTTTTTGTACACAAAAAAATCAAATTTTTTAAAGTAAATTATTTTTATGAAAGGTTTCTGTGAATTTCTGAACCATTTACTGAGTAATTCTGAGTAAAAAGTTATTTTCATTTTAAAATAAAAATACTTCTCTTCATCTTACAATTTTCATTTACATAACCTCTAGAAGCTTCTAAATGAATGTCAGTAGATTTTCATATCTGTTTTTTTTTTAATTTTATCGTTTCATTGCTGCAATTCTCATGTTAAAAGCAATAAATCACAATGTAAGCCCATTAGCCATTTCCTGCAAAGATTACATAAATACCACCTGATTGTTGAGTGAAATGTTTCACAAAGTGGTTGACCTAGTGAAATTGTAGAAATCTTATTTTACTGTACAAAGCTGAGAAGTTTCTAAATTTACATTTAGTTATCTTTGTTAAAAAATATATAGGTAACAATAAATAAAATATATATGGAGAAACAAGGATTTGTAGTACTTACTGTGTACTGGAGCTGTTTTGCACTTGATTAAAATATTTAAATAATCTTCACTAAGCCTTATTGAGTCTCAGAATTTAGGTGTCAAAAAAAATAATTCATATATCTTTCAAATATGAATTTTAGAACACAAAAATATGTCAATCACTAGAATCAAAAATTACAAAACTATATCATTTATTTTGCTTTCTAAATAAGCTATAAGTAGGTAGAAAGAACCAAAATATGATCACCACATACCAAGAAATTCCACTAATTAACTAACAGTTTAGAACACACAAACTAAACAATAACTTGTAAGATTCATGTAAATTTAAGGGAGATCTGTTATTTCCACTGCTTGTTAAAATTTCCATCAATAACAATCTCAGAAATCAAAGAGCAGAGGTGTAGGAGGCAAATTAAAAGTGTATATGTGTGGGGGCAAGGTTTATTTGACTGAACGAAGTGAGGGAATGTGTACCACAGGCACAGTCGTTATGGCTAGGGTCCAAGGCTCATCTTAGGGTTCTGGATTAAATTTTATGCATTCTCCTGCTTGTCCTGAGAGTAATTTCCTAATTTTTGTACATTTTTACTGGGACAGGTTGAAAAGTGGGGGACTGCCTAACAAACTTTGACAAAAGTACCCTACAGTAATGACAACTATACTGAACTTGTTATAGTATACCATGTACTAGACAATGCCATACTAACCTTGAAAAAACAACAATAGAAAGTAATGACAAACATTCAGAACTTGTTCAAGGTGCCCCTGCACTAGAAAATTCCATACCATTAAAGTTTGAAAAAAGTATCTTACTATAGTGAGATCCATAGATAATTCATTCTAAAAGTCTCTATGATAGTCAAAATATACTTAGTGCTTGGTTAACATCTGTATAATATGATGACAACCATAAACCAAACTGCTTGCCCAAAGTACTTTCAATGATTGATAAAACCATGGAGAACTTTGCTAAAGTTCTTGAAAAATAGTAGTGATAACTTTGAGAACATGAGAAAACCATATATTACTTATTCCAAGTGCACTTGCCAACACTACACAAGCCATAAAGAACTTAACCAACATATTCCAATAGTAACAACTAGGGCTTTTTTTGAGACAGTACGTGCCGGTATTACGTACCAGTACCATTTTTCATATTGCAAAATGGAGAGAAAAGTGACAAAATTTGAAAGAGTAATGTAAATGAATGTGTGAATTTTCCCCTTTGAACAAATCTTTTGTTCTCAAGAAAACCAAAGAGACACTGAACTAGAAGTCTAGAAGTGTTACAAATGACAAAGTTTAAAGGAGTGTGAGAACATACTGTTTGATCGTGTATGTATGATCATCAGTGTAGTATGAGGTGAGAAGCATCAGGTAGGATTAGCATGCCATTAATAGGGAACAACAATGGTCACCTGATTTTAACACCTACAAGACGTGGCCACTGAACTATTGAAAAGCGGTCGAGTTTTGGGTCTTATTACACTTTATATGTGATCCTTTGTGCTAACTCTTTTATCAAAGTTGATGTACAGTAGTGGCCTCACTTTGATTGACAGGTTTCAATTGGCAGCAGCAGGTGAGAGCCGGCCTGGGTGGACGCAATACTGAGTTCAAAGAGACTGTTTGGGACTGGAAAACAAGTGATCACAAGCCGAGTTGACTAGTATGTGGGTCTGGACTGTACATTCATTCAAATAAAGTAAGTCACAAAGTGGATGAAGATGATTGACGTCATTAATTGCAAAGCCTAGATAAAAGTATGCGCATGAGTCTTGGGAATAAGTTGTTTTGGTCTGACATGCTCAGTTGAGGTGGTGATGCCAATTTGAGCAGGTGTGCATTTTTCTTCTACTGTGCTTTGATTTTATTGTGACCGGGAGTGTATATTATTTTTATTGCATCTTGAGAAAAAACCCCAACATAAAAATGAAATGAATTACAAGTTTCTTTTCATCTTCTGTGAATAGTAAAGCTAGAATAAGTGAGGAAGTGACCCAAGACCAGGAATTAATGGCATCAGAGACAGTTCCTGTTCCATCCTGTATCCACAAGCTATCTGACAATGACTAGCCTAGCAGCTGGACTGTTGATCAAAAAAAATATTTTTGCAGGAAGTATGATTGGCTGAATATCAGAAACAAGAAACTTGTCTGTACACCTTGCCATAAAATTGGAACTTTTGGAGTGGAAACGAAGGCAGGAATGAAAGTTTGTAAAGAATGGGCCAACAATGAAATAACTTATTTTGGTAAAAGTCGATAGCAACAGCTTCTTTATTTGTGGAAAAAAACTTTTCAATCACAAGGAAACCGTGGGACATAAAGCTGTGGTAAAATTTTTTGGCTGAAGCTGGAAAAGAGACCATTGAAAATATGTGTTTGAAAGCATTATATCGCAAAAAGGTGATTACCACAAGAATTTTTCACACAGCATTTAAGGTAGCAAAAGAAAAACCAATCATTTCATAATTTTGAATCTGAAATAGATTTACAAGAACTAAATAGAATTGATATGGGCCATATCCTTCACTCAACAAATGCATGTATTAACATCGTGAATCACATTAGTGATGAAATGAAAAAATACTAATTAATATAGTTACTAAATCAGAGAGTAGAATTTCACTGATAATAGGCAAGTCAATTTCTTTGAGTAAAAAATCAACCTTAATAGTGTACGTTCGAATCTGTATCCCAGATAATGGAATGAACTTGCCGGTAAATTTATTTTTTGGACTTGATCAAACATGAAAATGTTACTGGAAAAGTAATTTTTGATTTGTTACTCAATTGTCTTCAGTCTTACAGAATGAATGAAGACTACCTGAAAAGTTATTTACTTTGTGTGGCATGTGATGTTTGGGAATAAAAGTGGTGTTAAGAAACTGATGAAAGACAAATTTCCTTCTGTAATTGTGTGGGACTGGGGCTAATCAAAGATTAGAACTGTCAGTGAGTGACACTGTAAAATCAGTTTCAGGGATCAACAGATTTAAAGCATTTATTGATAAACTTTATGTATTGTATAATGCATTGCCTAAAAATAGCAGAGAACTGAAAGTGTGTGCAAATTTACTGGAGATTCAACTTTTACAAATTGACTAAATTTTAAGCACTCGATAGGTGGCATCTAGTTTTTGGTCAGTTTCAGCTGTTTTGGAAAACTATGAAGTGTTAGTGCAACATTTCGAAGAAGCAAAGCATGATTCAACAAGAGACAAAAAAGAGCAATGTGCAAATGAGGGTTTAGAGCAAAAAATTACAAGCACAGAATTTCTATTGGATCTATGATTGATGTGTGATGTCTCCAAGAATTATCTGAATTGAGTGTGGACTCACAAGGGTGCAATATAGATTTGTACAAGGCAGATAAAAAGATAAAAGCTCATGTACAAATTTTGAAGAAAGACAAATGATTCCAGGACCATATTATAAAAATTCTGCCGAAGCCACCAAAAATCTTCACTTTCGGGGAGTTTCACTTCACAACAAAGATTGCAAAAATGATCCTCTGATTAATCCAGAAGCTTTTTACAGAACATTGAAAAAAATTGATCGAAAATAGGTTGCTTGACAGTGAAGATAGTGATATAGCACAATGTGCATGCATGCTTAATAAAAAACATTGGCCTGAAAACATTGATGCTCATTTAACATTCAGCAAGATGGAGGTCAGAAAATTATCAATAAGACTTCAGCTAAATGAAATAGATATGATTCGTGGATTTTATCAGTATTTGATTGAAAAGACGGATCCAGAAAAATTGTAGCATTTGAAACATGCTCTGGTACTATTCCCATTTCTTCCAGTGAATGTGAACAAGGGGTTTTGCAGATGAATTCGATTGTCACCCCAACCAGAGTGACAAAAACCATTTTGGCACTTTTGTTTATTCAACTTCTTGGACCGCCCCTTCCACGCTTTGACCAAAAAAATACGTAAAGTCATGGTTGCTCTGAAAACGTCACTCAACAGTAGACAACAAAAGCAGGGAACGAAGTTAGGATATTGTGTCAGATGAGAACATGATGAAATTTTGAAATTTTCTATAAAAAGGTAATTCTAGTGTGTTTCATCTCTTAATTTCTTATATATATATATATATATATATGAGTACCAGCACCTTTTTTTTAACAAAAAAAAAGCACTGGTAACAACCACAAGGAACTTGTTTCAAACGTATCTGTGTTAGATAAGACTACTCAGAGTGCAACTAAGATATCCTACAATAAAGATAAGAACCTACTGTAAGTGCCCCTAAACTAGATAAAGCCATACAGAGCTACACTATTAAAAGTATCTTACAATAGTAAGTGAAAATTTATGCTAAGAAGACAAAGAATATGCTGATAAGTAGACATGGTAATAAGCCAGAAATTCAGATAAAATTAGATGAAAAAGACATACAACAAATAGAGAAATTTATATATTTGGGCCAGACCATAATAGGTGATAGAAAATGTGAAGCTGAAATAGTGAAGAGGATTGAGATGGTAAGAGGTGCCTTTAATAATAGGAAAACAAGTCTGACATCAAAGAGTATAAGAGTAAAAACAATGAAAAGAATCATAAAGTGTTATATATTGTCAACTCTGTTATATGGATGTGAAACATGGACACAAACATTGATTAACAAACTGGAAGCATTTGAGATGTAGGTGTACAGAAAGATGATGAAAATATCCTGGATAGACAAGGTAACAAATGAAGAAGTTCTCAGTATTGTGAATGTGAAAAGATATGTTGTACTAACCATCAAGAAGAGAAAAGTAGCATATTTTGGCCATATGATGAGATGTGACAACATCCAGTGAGTCCTACTAGAAGGTCAAATAGAAGGGAAAAGATACAGGGAAAGACCAAGAACAGAGTAAATACCAAATATTAAAGAGTGGACTGAGATAACAAAATATGAAGACCTGGTGAGAAAAGCACAGAACAGACAGAAGTGAAGGATTGTGGCAGCCAACCCTCCTTATTAAGATGGCACATGATTATGATGATATTAGCTTGCTCAAACTACCCTACAAAAGTGAGAATCAAACAAAATTTGTTCCAAATATCCCTGCATTAGGTAAAGCTATACCAATTTTGATTAAGATAGTGATAATCATACTCAGTTTGTTCTAAGTGCCCCTGGCTTAGATAAAGCAATACTGAGTTTGATGTATCTTAAAATACAAAGAATTATTCAAAATTGGTTTTAATTACTCTATTCCTTGTAAAACCCATGCAGAACTTGCTCAAAGTACCCTACAAAAGTGAGAATCTTACAGACTTTGTTCCTGTACTAAATGAAAACCACACAGAGGTTGCCTAAAGTTAGTTAAAGTTCTAGGATGATAAGAAATTGCTTGTTTTCAGACTTAATGCAAATGCAATAGATTTGTAAGTGCTCCTTAATTTGAAAACTTAAAATGTACTTACGATTCAGGTGTGGAATTACTCTGGGTACGTAACTCTACTTCTGCCAGTCTGAAATCAGAAATTTGATTCATTTTTCAAATACTTTCTTTTTTGTAGTGGTGAATATAAGTTTCAAAACACCAAAGACACAAAGAAATTATAATCATAATTATACATAATTATAGTGATGAATGAATTGTGATATTACTATAAAACCCACTTTAACTGAATAAGCATGGGGTCGGTCCACTGGATCAATCCTATATACTGAAGAAGGAATGCTGCCTATAATTCCAAATTTAGTATATGACTATGTGTATCTTCAAATAATTTGGCAAGCTTTTAGTAAAATGTAAAGGTTTGTCATACACAAAAATCACATGTGTTACAAAAGTATCTGTACACAAGATATGTCTCTGAATTGATGACATCAGTCTGATTCAGACTCTGAAAAGTTGGAGTGGAAGGCGATATTGTGAAGAATAAAAATACATTTATTCCACTTTACAGTTTGAATGTTATATTTGAACCTCTAGAACCTTCAAAATGCACATCTACGAGTATCACAGTGATCTAATATCACATCTTTTTTTGAGTACCCTTGTATATTGTATCCAGTATTTGCTTTTCTCTACTATGGATTGTTTCTAAATCAGCAATATAGGGTAAAAAAATAGTTTATAACTCTGACATCAAATACATAATACCATGTTGAGTGGTACTCTATAAAAGATCATAGCATGTGTACTTTGATCATCACCATACATATAGGGTTAATGGTAGGTCAGGTCATATACGTCTCCAGTCCAGTTTGCTTGCTTTTTTCTGTAGATTATGTGTCATTCATTAAATTTAGTTTCCACAAGTTAAAGATTACTATCTTACAAGCTTTAAAATCTGAGTTCATTCTTTGTGATCCTAGCTCTATTTTAAAATGATTTTCTGTTTGTTTGTTGTAAAGCACCACAATACATAATAAGCTATCTGTGCTATGTCCACCATAGATATTGAAATCCAAATTTTTAGCAATGCAAGCCAACTGACTTACCACTGAGCTGCTGGGGGGGGGGCAATGTGATGTACTGGTAACTATCTGTATGTAATACACACAATGCACAAGGTAAGAGCTAAGTTTGATAGTGAATTAAATAAATTATAAATGAAACTATAAGTTTTTTGCATTCTAATTGTTCAAGAACTAAACAAACAACAAAATCAAGAAAACATAAAACTTTGTGACAAACTTTTTAATCAAACTGACTCTCTTCTTAATAAAATACTAAACTGATGGTACAAATGACAGACTAATATAGACAAAACATAATATTAGCAGCTTATTCTCCTGCTATATTATTAGCAGGAGTTCAGTAAAGTCTTGCATTATAAAGTTAAGGTTATAAACTAAGATAGCAGAAATAAAAATAGTTAGTAATCCATAATATTTTAGAACAAATTTGGTAAAAAAATGTTAAGAATTTACTAAATTACTAAAATTTAGATGATAAAATCTCTTAATTTTACATACTGCCATTTGAATAATTAACTCTTTATGTAAGTTACAATCTTTTGGTTTTGGTTTGTTTTGAAATTTTGTGCAAAGCTACATGAGGGCTATCTGCTCTAGCTGCCCCAAATTTAGATAGACTAGAGGGAATGCAGTTAATAAACCCCACCCACCACCAACTCTTGGGCTACTCTTTCATCAACAAAAAGTGGAATTGACAATTACATTAAAATGCCCCCATGGTTGAAGGGTGAACATATATATATGGGAATTCGAACCCACGATTGAGAGTCAAGTGCCCTAACCACAAGGCCATGCCAGGCCAATGTTATAATCTCTTTCTGATGCATGTGATATAATAGTATTAATAACATCTTTATATAAAATCAAAATTTTCCAAACTTCCAAAATTTCAATGTTTCACCTAACTATATTTTATAGACCAGATTGGGAAGGCAGAATACCTTGAATATTTCAATATCCATACTAAAAAAACAACAAATTTGGGATTCATAAAAAGTACTGTTATGACAGCGGAAGTCACGTGATGCTAGTAACACGTCATGATCATGTCTGTTCCTGGCAAATCTAATCTTCTCTACACGCCCTTTATTTTTGTATATATAAGCCAGCAAATGAAGTGATGGCATAGATAACTGCAGACAGAGATGGACAATTGAGTCAAGCGCAGTAGTGACCGTAAGTAAAGTGCGTGAATCGTTGTGAATTATAGCGTGTGTTTAAGTTAAAGTGACTGTGGAAATTAAGTGTATTGCAAAGTTGTATTGAGAAAGAATATACTAGTTTTATTTAAGAAAGGACTTGTATCGCTGAAGTTCTTCGGAAAGAATTTCTATGGAAAATTAACAAACGAACACAGACGTAACAGTACCAATTATTGAGTAAAACTATGTTATAATAATATGTACCTGTTGGCATACAATTCCAAACGAGAATGCATTTCTTTAGAAGAAACAGAGTGCTGTGGGGATGGTGCTGGGCTCTCCAAGTCATCACCTTCAAGTACAGTCTGCACAGGAAGGTAACCCATTCGATGATGTTTCTTAAAATGACGTTTTGATTTGAATTTGTTTCGAACTATCCTTGTAAAGTCTCGCATGTCTTCCCCTGAAGTTGTCTAGAAAAGCAGAAGCATATGAAAAACTTTTAGAACATTCTTTGTTATCCAAACAATCTCGCACAAGTTCTACAGTCAATTTAAATATCACATGTTGGTTTTAATTGTTTTACACTTGTTTCTAACATCATTATTGTACTATCAATGAAAGGTTTTTACATTTTCTATACAGAAATTTTCAAATATTTCCTATACCTTAATGATAGCTTTTCTAAATATTTTCTTGTGAGAAATATAAAAGATACTGTATTGTTTTTTGTTGTAATTATCTGTTAAATAATATTTTACACTATATGATACAAATTTAAGTCATAGATGAGGTCATGTGGTGTCACTGTTAATTGCAAGTGTTTGAATGGCATCAGCATGGATGATGCACATAACCGTTGTTATATTCAAAATAAAAATATTGTCATAAATTGTCAAATAAAAACTCTGATTATTGATATATATTTTATAAACTTTTCAATATGGTAAGATTAGTTAATTGTGAATGAATAAGATCAACAGTAATATTACAGAAATCTCAAATTTATAATTTTTTTCACAAACAGATATAGGATAGATATAGTTCAAGAGAGAAATCCCCATAACCCCAAGTTCATGTTTCATAATTAATGTACACCTAACAATGTATAACTGTGTTTCCTGTTAATTAACCTAGGAAGAAAATAGAGTTGTTGTTTTGGGCTTTAGAAATGCTAAGCAACAAAGTCATTTATTTCTAAAAAAAAAGGTTTTCAGAACATCTTCTAATACTGAACTATTAATCCAGTCATATTAATGTAAAATCAGTGCATAACTTTAAGTTTCAAAAGTAGGATTGATGAACAAATATTATTAATGATCCAAAAATATGCATTAAAAGTGAAAGCTTTTGGAGGTATTGATAGGATAGAATATGATAGAAGAACAGAACAAAGAAAGTGACTACAAAACTCAAAGAAGCATTAGAATAATATAACCAGAAATTTAATGATGCTTTGGAATAATGTATTCAAGAATGAAATGACAAATTTAAGGGTACTGATTATGTATAGCCACAAGCAGTGCAAAAAAAAAAGAGGAAAATCTGAGAAGAAAGTCGAGGAGGTGTTGCAAGAACATGGCTAGGAATTCAGAGAAGCATTGAAATTATGTGATAGAAAAAGTTAAGTAGTCATAAGTAGTATACAAATGACTTTGATCATTTACTGCGCATGTATACTATTATTTCACATGCTGTTAATATCACACTGGCAGTTGTTCAAGACACAACAAAAGCCAGAATTGCTTCAGTACAAATGGCATTAAATTTGAGAACAAAAACTATGGTTGACAAGGTTGCCACTGTTGTAGGAATCCAGAAAAATTGTAGGAATAGCCTGTAAATTTGAACTTCTAGTCAAGAGCTATTTTGGTTACCCTGAACCAAGATACTTGGGTAATATGTCTCTTGAAATTCAATATTCTACGTTACCAGAACCAACTCTAGAACCAGAAGAATCACAAGGGCCACTTTCACTTTTCTTTACTAGAGAAAAAAAAAACTTAACTGATTATAAGGGGAAAATAACACCTTGTTATGTCACCTAGCTTATTGGTTTCTAACCTTTTTTCCAACTGACATCCAGCTAATTCTGTTCCCAAAATTTCACAAACTGCTTTATACAATAGTAACTATTTACTTTTAAATTATATTGTAATACAAATACTTCACTAGATATAGTTTAAAACACATATTTTTTTTCAATAATCTTGTGGAGCAGTATAAATATCCTTCTGGATAGGTGGTTGGGAATCACCGACCTAAATAAACAAACCTTTTGAAGCATATATGTTTGGTTTGTTGTTGTTAAGAGTAAAACTACACATTGGGCTATCTGTGCTCTGCCCACCATGGGTATTGAACCTTGTTTTTTTTGCACTGTAAGCCTGCAGACTTGCCACTGAGCCACTAAGGGGTGGAAGAATATATCACAAGCAAAGTGCACGAGTATAATGACGAAAAAGAGAATCTTTATTCAGTTATCCTAACCAGAAGTGTCTCCAGGAACACTGACTAGAACTTACTGATTTGTTGATATCATGGAGGATTAACATTTGGATCAGTTGAACCAAATTAGATGCACCATGTTGAGAAAAGCTGTTTAGTATGAAAACAAAAATAAAATCTCTCAACAAAAAAAAAAGCTAATAAACAACTCAGAGCATCTGCTTAGAAAGAAAAACTTTAAAGAGAACTAAAATTGACTTTGAGTAGGCTAGAACTATTCAGTTCACTCGAAAACTTTATTTTTTTTTCAAGGAGAGAAGCATGTTGAATATCACAATATGTTTCACTGTTGATGTGGTCAGAAATGATATTTAATTCTTGACAGCAATCAAAAAGAAATCTAAAACTCCCAAAGATAAAAGTTTCTGTATTGTTCTGCAAGAAATACACATGTTATAAAAGGGATAATGAAAATAATAATAATAAAGAAAAAAGCCATTTTTGTAAATATCATAGCCTAAGATATGTTGTCTCAATGGAATTTTGTTTTTTTATTGATTTTAGAGACAATAAATGGATGCTCTGAAATCAGGAACATACTGTCATCTTCAAAATCTTCTGTCAGTGAAATAAGCTGGAATTAAGATTATATTGAGTTTAACAAGACTTTGATACTTAAAAGTTTCTACTGAGTTTATCAAAGCCTTTGAGTGGCACATGAAAGATTCTACTGCGTTTAAGAAGACTTTGAAGGGGTACATGTACTAAGTTGGATATTGTAGGTCTGTTAAAGAGTGGTGTCAATCCTTTCACTTTTTTGTTGTTAAAAGGTGATCACAGAAAAAATAGCAAATATAATATGAGAATAACAGTTGAAAGATTAGATGATACTTTCTTGACCTATACCACTATAAAATTAATGTAATCAAGTATATCATAATAGTTTATCTGTTTTGTTGCATTTTATGCAAAGTTACATGAGGGCTACTTGCACTAGCTGTCCCTAATTTTGAAGGCAGCTTGTCAACACCACATACTGTTAACTCTTGGGCTACACTTTCACCAACAATAGTGGGATTCACTGTCACATTATAATGCTCTCATGGCTGAAATGATGTTTTTTTTTGTTACTGGAAGAGAATATTGTATTGTGTTTTATAAAATGATAATTTATTTTGCAAGTATCTATTATGTTAATGTATTATCCAGTTGCATAATTTTGGTTTCAAAAGTGGAGGGGACAGTTCTTGTAACTGGTGTATGCATGAGGGTATTTTATCTAAAAAAAAGGTGTTCTATCCCTGAAAAAAGTGTGGAGGACAAGTATGTAACAAAAGGCATGTAACAAAAACCAAAACTGTAAAACAGTAAAATGAAGAACGAATTAATTTAACATGCTTATAGTGTTATAAATATTTAGTCAACAATAAAATGTTACATTATTAACTTTTAAATACTTCCAAGGTTAGGAGCTACATAGAATAAGTTCTTAATAACTGTTTAACAAAACAATAGAAGTATAAAACATTTACTAACTTATGTTGAAATCAATTTTTTTAGATAAAGTTTTTATAAAATTTACTGTTTTTGTTCAATGAGAGCTGTGAAAATAAATTTGTATATGATAGTGAACTGAAGTCTTATCATTGTATTGGAACTAATGTGAGGACAAGATTAATAAATAGCAGGGATGAAGTGACACAAAATGTTCATTCTTCACTTCAGCCATGATACTGGACTTACAGTATTGGAACTAATGTGAGGAAAAGATTAATAAATAGTAGGGATGAAGTGACACAAAACGTTCATTCTTCACTTCAGCTATGATACTGGACTTACAGTATTGGAACTAATGTGAGGACAAGGTTAATAAATAGTAGGGATGAAGTGACACAAAACGTTCATTCTTCACTTCAGCCATGATACTGGACTTACAGTATTGGAACTAATGTGAGGACAAGGTTAATAAATGGTAGGGATGAAGTGACATAAAATGATCATTCTTCACTTCAGTCATGATACTGGACTTACAGTATTGGAACTAATGTGAGGACAAGGTTAATAAATGGTAGGGATGAAGTGACACAAAATGTGCATTCTTCAGTCATGATACTGGACTTACAGTATTGGAACTAATGTGAGGACAAGGTTAATAAATGGTAGGGATGAAGTGACACAAAATGTTCATTCTTCACTTCAGTCATGATACTGGATGTACAGTATTCCTTTCTTGTTTTTAATCTCATTTTCTGTTCTAAAAACTGACATTTGAATTGTATTTTTCATTTGGAAAGATGGATGACTGACAGAGACTAATTATATATCTAAATCCTAAGAGCATAGAAAGACTTACAATTTTTAAAGTTTACTTCTCAGCATATTTTTTGGAAAATTTGGTTTACTTTTCTGTCTTGTTGAAATCTATTCTGTTTACTAGTGGTATATGCTGTTGTTAAGTGAAACTCTAAACTGATACCTTTTTTATGAAAAAAACTATTTCTGTTAGATTGCATTTTTGCACAGCTGATTTATGCAAGTCCTCTTTGTATTAAATAGTGTTATCGGTATGCAAGAAAGTAAGATTTTTAAAGAACACAAGAAAAATATTATATATATATATATATATATATATATAGATAATTATAAAATTATTTATATTATATTAGGAGTACATTTTTTAAAACTTACTGTCATACAGTATTCCTGCATAGGGTGAGATAGTTTGTGACCCCTGGCTTTTCTTCCTGAGAAGAAACAGCTTTGACATAGGTCAAAGTTGAAGCACTTCAAGCACCGATATCTGAAAGATCAAGTTCACAGAAATTGAGGGCAAAAATCAATGATTTAAACATGAAAGTGAATTTTTTTTAATCACACTTTTAAACCAGGATGATGTGAGAAAGAATATCACTATGAGCTAACATGAAATGTTGTATTAATTTTCTAATAACAAGGAAATTTAAAAGACAACCTTGAAAACAGTTCTTATTCAATTAAAATACAATTTGTGATTTTAAGTATATTACCATCCTGATTTAAAACACATTACTTATACATTAACAACTGGTATTTTTCTCTATTGTATGAATAAAAAAGCTCTTTCTCATTGACAAATCGTTAACTTTTTCACTAAAGAGCAAATGTGATTCTTGCACTAAATATTATTGTAGCTATTAAGTACATGTATTTTAAACTTTCTTTCCAGTATGTACTAGTTTCTAGTGTACATATATTGCATACCCGTGTAAAAATATTTGACATATATATATATATATCAGTCTGAAAACCCATACATGTACAAAATAAACTGTGTTTTGGGTATAACACAATGTTATTTCTGTCACTTAATTGTATAAAAAATGTAATATTTCTTTTTGTATGAATGTAACAACAGGTGCTATTCATTGATGCTATGTTATCTATTGGAGAAACATGTCTAGTAATCTGAACCTAATATTTAGATTCTGTTTTCAATGTGACATTCATTTCAATGAATGGCTACAATTTATGGATATTCACTGTGTTTTGAACCAAATGTTAACATTTTTTTTACACTAAAAATGTATTTCCAATAGGTACTTAACTTTCTCACATAAAGCTATCTTGATCTTCCAGGGATAAATCTGAATACACCAGTCTAAGGAGTTTACGAACCCAACCAGTTAGTGTGAAGGGGAATAGATAACAAGAAACAGAAGAGTTCCAGGGAATAAAAGGTTGGTAACATGAACCCCAAAAAGAGGCAGTATGTGCCACATAACATCTTAGGGAATGAACCTGACAATGAAGTTGATTAAGATCAGAATGGGAGTACAGGTGAGAGATGAAAGGTAAAGAAATGGGTGGGAAAACCAAATAGCCTCACCAGAGGATATAGGATGACATAAGAGAAATAGTACAGGATTCTGGTAACATCAATAGTATAAATATCCAATCGATGATATCGCAAGCTAGGGTGAAAGGAAATAGGTAATATATCACATACCTGATTAAACACCTATAAAAAAAGTGTGGAAGGTGAGATATCCTGTAGAAGTGTAGAGTGTGACAGACCAAACTAAGAATGTGTCAGAAAAAAATGAATCCAATTTTCTTCTCCTTGATTGTATTCATCCTCAGAAACATTGTCAGGTTCAAATTAAGCAGAAATTGCTGGCCGAATATAGGAATCTAGCTCCCTGTGAATTAAGGATTGTACTCAGCAGATAAAGTCGAACCCGATGCCTGGGCAGTTGTACCAGTTGTCTACAGTAACAGGAACTTTCATTGTCAATACATTGAATAATGAAATGTATACAAAGTAGAATCGTAAATGGTAGTCCCATGCGAAAACACACATGTCTAAATGATGCTATGCTGATCAAGAAATTGAGAGAATCAGAGGGACTTAATTGCACTAACATAGGTGGTGTAATAGTATTGGTGGAGTGTGGTCACATGCTATATTCATGTTCATATGTGGCATGAAATTTATTGAGTATATAGATTGGTGTGCTGAGCCTTAAATTTATTTAGCAATGCTTAGGGGGCAGGAAGAAGATTGAGATAGCTTTTTATGAGAGAAGTAAGACCCTATTGGAAGTTGCTCATATGAAGCTAACAATTTAATTCTGTTTATAAATTATGCATAACTTTTTAATACAAGCAAAAAGTTCTAATTAAAGCTTGCCAATATTAAAATATCTTAGTAGTAACAATTCAGTATTAGTTGTTAACAATATATATTGAAAATTAATTTAGTTACTTAGTTAGTATGTCACAGATAGATCAGTGTGGTTAAAACTTTAAAAATTATTATTATAATACAATCTAACAGTGATGAAAAGTTATAGGAATTATACAGCACTGCACCCAATAGTTAGTGTTCTGGACTGTGGTTTGTGCCCCCTTACTGGTGAGAAGTTATAATCTTCCTATACTAAAAATATATTTCCGATAGGTGCTTACCTTCTCTCACATAAATAGGTATTCTCGTCCAGTGCTGCCCTCTATATAATTTTTTTTTCGCATGCCACAAGACTAGAGCTCCCACATACCTTATAATCAATTGATTCAACTGCATCTCCCATGCAAATCATCATGTGACAACCTTCCATTAATAAGAGTGCAACACACTCTTTTGACGCATGTGACTCCCCCTATTTGAATCTACTGACCTATCACATAGAGTTTTGGCAGAAAATGGAAGCACTGGTTTTCAGTGGGGAGGAAGGGTGGGTGGTGTGAAAGGAGGTATATTTTCAGTATATGAAAATGATAACTTCTGATATCGTAAATTACCTCCTCTTACATAAATAGTTAGAATCCTGCATTGAATAGGTGGAGAGACTGGCGTGAGGGAAAGAAAGAAGCATCCTTTGAAAGCATCCAAAGGACACCCTAAAAGTGGAGATCCTCATAGCAGAGGATAATACATCGGAGGGACCATTCTGTCCAATAAATTTATCTAGACAGGAAAGCCGATCCAGAACAAGATTGAATGCACCCAGAACATTACACGCAATGATACAAATACAGAGTGTGTGGGTACAAAAAAGAATATCCAAGGTCTGATAACAAAGTGAACGAGAATGGGTGCTGTCTTTGTGATTTATATAAGCCACCACTGTAGAATTGTCGGAATGGATCATGACCAGACAATTCCTGGCAAGATGAAAAAGTGATCCAAGTCATAACGTACAACCAGAAGCTCCAGGATGTTGTTATGGTAAGATCTTTCAGCTAGAGACCATCGACCTGAAGCTTCCTGCTGATCAACGCATGCCCCCCAGCCCTGAAGGGAAGTACACAGCATGGTCACAAGTA